AACACGGTGAAAAAGTACTTTCGAACACTTGTTCCATTGATGTGGTAGCTATCTAACTTTACAAACACAGGCACATGGACATTGATAATGTTATCGATGAGCGTATTGGATAACATTTACATTTTTCAAAACAGAGTTCTATCTGCATTTATTGATGATGGCGTACTAAAATACTTTGTGTCCATGAAGGTTACAATGGAAGTTGCATGTTATTTTCTTGGCAATATGTAAAAAAAGTACAAAAGATAAGAAGAATCTGGCCTCTCTCTGTGTGACGTTATTCTTAAAGCGAGTGAATTTTTATCAGCGAGTGAAAACGAGTCTCGTACTGATTGCAAATAATAGGCGCCATCGTATCGTTTTATTCTTCTGTTTGTCAAGATTTTCACGGACGCTGTCAAATTAGAACGATTCTCCTTGGACCTGTTACGTTCAGGGATCCGTGTAAAGATATATCACAATCTCGATTGCGACACATATTCCAACATTCTGTTTGATGAATTTAATAGCAACCTATGAAATTATCGCAGCCTAGGAATAGAAGGCCTTTTTTTAAAAACGTTTCAACCAACGGAACCTGAATTATGAATTATAAATTGCAAGTGTTGATAATCATAACGATATTATCAATCAATGTGCCATTTTTACACTCTTCTCGATGAATAATTATTCGTGTTATTGGCTGTGATTAAGCTGTAATGAATGTTGAGAGTATTTTTTGCAAATTTTATAGATAGAACGTGCAATAACAGCCGCAAGATAATTCAACTTTGCAGCGATTAATTGATCGATTCTCAACAGGCAGCTACGTTTTGAAAGTCAACTATAAATCGCGATCTGTCGCAGGTAACAGGTGACCTCAAAATATAATCAGAAACCGGATCTCGCATTCGAGCCGCGTATTTAGGCCGGAAGTGCGTCTGTAAGGCTCGCTTTAAATAGTCACTTAACCTGCTGGTTTCCTTATATGTAATAAGTATCGATAACGAGCATCCATCGTTGATTTCAGCCGTACATTCTAAACGATCTATTTTTGGTATATATGATAACAGATCTATAATTAGCTGCCTGTGTTGTTGCCACAATGGAATTTTATCTTAATTTGAGCGAAATGACAATATGTGAAATCGAACCGATCCACGTCCATTGAAAAGGCAACAAAATTATTGCCAGACGCTTATTTGCAAAAACGGAATATTCTGAACATTCCTCGGACTAAGTGACGAAAGCCAGGAATAAAAATTTGATAAATCTGAAATTCGAATAATACTTTGCATATATTGATTTATACATTCGTACGTGTATTTTGTATTTCTCTCTCTCTCTCTCTCTCTCTTTTCAATTGCTCGGCATTTTTTCGCTGCCTCTCGCGATCGAAAGGTGCGCGCAAAGAGACGCCACGATGAACGTGCATACCTGCGTGTCAGTTGACTCGGACTCGGGCAGAGAAAACGGGTTAGCGTGACTCGTGAATTAGAGAGAAACGCGGGCAGAAACTCGCAACCGCGACGCTAGAGCAGGACAGAGTGCTCGACGCGGAGCAACGCGAGAAGGAGACCGCGTTGCATTCCACGTGATCGACGAGAGAAGGGCACGCCTCGAACGTCGAGTCACGCGCCCGACCACGCTCTTACCCTTACCGACACGTGCACGCAATGTGTCCGACCGGGCACTCGGTAGAACAGAAACAGCCGATTATGTGCTTGGTGCGCGATGACATCTCTTGGTTCATCCATTATCTATGTACATACGAATTTTTTTTTTTTTCTTTTTTCACGTGGAGGAAATCTTCGATAAGACACAGCTGAGTCTTTTAAGAGAAGACCCAGGTAGTGTCCGGATTTTTATCGACTAAAACTTCCACGATAGCCATCCTCCGCATGTTGGGAGAGAGCTCTGGGACTTTTTTATACACACAGAGCTCTCCTCGTGCTGTTGTCCTAAAGGACAATATCT